CTCTTCTCTTTCTCCTCACCTTGGTTCAAAACTTCCTTCCTCAGGATCGATCATCTTACAGTCCAAAAAGGCTGCTGCAGCTCCAGCTCTCACTTCTGCATTTGGGGTAATAGGCGAGAAGAAACAGGAGGAGACCAAAGGGGCTTTTCTCAGTTCTCTGTCTACCTCTTAAGGAGTCTTCACACAAGCGCCATCCACCAAATTTTGCTTGTCCAGAAATTAGTGACATGATCACAGCCAACTACACAGGAAACTGGGGAATACGGTCTTTGGTGGGTACAGTATTTGAATAGTATCAGGGCACTGATACTATTTGGGAAAAAAGGAAGAATGGGTATTGCATTAGGCATGAGAAACCTCTGCCACACCTGCTGTGTATGCTTCCATATCTTTTCTTCAGCCTTTCTATGTGCTTATATTTTAGGCATGTATCTTATACGCAATAAGTAACTATGTTTTATGTTAATCTGTCTGGCCAATATAGTCTGTTTATGTTTACTGTGATGCTAATATACTTAGGTTTATTTGTAACATGTACTTTGTGATTCTGTATTCCTTACTTTTTCATGTTTTGTTTTTCTTTTTTCTCTTTTTCCTGTCTTTTATGAGATTAAGGTTTCTTTCCCCCATTTCTATTGGTTTGGAAGCTGTTGAATCTCATTCTAATTTGTATTGGTTCTTAATTTTTTAACAATCATGCATGATTAGTCTAAAATTAATATTTTATCCCCCCCGCCCCAAAACAGTCCAGGGAGATTTTCTGATTACCCTCTTCTTAACTTCCTGGTAACTTACCTGTTACCATGCAATGTCTTAGTTGCAGCTTGTTTTAAACCCCCTTGATACTAGTCAATACTAATGTGATTTTGTTTTACAGTGATGCTTCCTTGGATTTTTCTTTGTTGACCAACTTGCTTGCTCACCACTGCTGCTCTTATCCACTTCTTCCTTCTCCATGTAATTGCCCTCTTTAAAAAAAAAAAAAATCTTTAAATTTGATTTAGTTAACATATCATGTATTATTAATTTCAGGGGTAGAATGCAGTGATTCGCCAATTACATATAATACCCTGTGCTCATCACATCACGTGCCCTCCTTAAGGCCCATCACCCACTTACCACATACCCCCACCCACGTCCCCTCCAGCAACCCTCAGTTTCCTAGAGTTAAGAGTCTCTTGGGTTCACCACCCTTTCTGTTTTTATCTTATTTTTCCTTGCCTTCCCCTATGTTCATCTGTTTTGTTTCTCAAGTTCCACATATGAATGAAATCATATATTTGTCTTTCTCTGACTCATTTATTTCATTTAGCATGATACCCTCTAGCTCCATCCATGTCATTGCAAATGGCAAGATTTTATACTTTTTGATGACCAAGTAATATTCCTGTGTGTGTGGGGCGCCTGGGTGGCTCAGTGGATTAAGCCGCTGCCTTCGGCTCAGGTCATGATCTCAGTGTCCTGGGATCGAGCCCCGCATCCGGCTCTCTGCTCAGCGGAGAGCCTGCTTCCTCCTCTCTCTGCCTGACTCTCTGCCTACTTGTGATCTCTCTCTCTGTCAAATAAATAAATAAAATCTTTAAAAAAAAAAAATATTCCTGTGTGTGTGTGTCTGGGTGTGTGTGTGTGTGTGTGTGTGTACCACCTCTTCTTTTTTTTTTTTTAATTTCAATTAATTAACATATAATGTGTTATTTGTTGCAGGGGTACAGGTCTGTGATTCATCAGTCTTATACAACACCCAGCGCTCATTACAACACATACCCTCCCCGATGTCTATCACCAGTTACCCCATTCCCCAACCCCTCCCCCCTCCAGCAACCCTCAGTTTGTTTCCTAAGATTAAAAGTCTCTTATGGTTTGTCCCCTTTCTGTACCACCTCTTCTTTATCCATTCATCTGCCAATGGACATCTGGACTCCTTCCATAGTTTGGCAATTGTGGGCATGGTTGCTATAAACATTGGGGTGCACATGCCCCTTGGATCACTATGTTTGCATCTTTTGGATAAATACCTAGCAGTGCAATTGCTGGGTCATAGGGTACCTTCATACTGTTTTTAAGGAACAGGAGGAAACTCCATACTGTTTTCCAGAGTGACTGTGTGAGTTAATTATCATCTTTTTTGAGATCTCATTGAGTAGGTCTGGGAGTAGTGAACTTACTTGGGCTTTGCCTGGAAATATCTTTTATTTTACTCATCCCTTCATCATAGTTTGGCTGTGTATAATTCTACATAGAGAGGTAGTTTCCCTCAAAACTTTGAGGATGACATTCTCTTCTGTTTTTTGACGTTGCTATCAAAACCTTCAGTCTGGTTATTGTTCCTTTTTTGGAAATCTATGTTTCCTCTCTGGTTTATTTTAAGATAAACTCTGTTTTTGCTGTCCACTGTTTCACTATGGCATGTTCAGGTGTACATTTGTTTTTATTTATCTGTTCAGGACATAGGTTTCCTGGATGTGAGGATCTGTGTCCTTGATGGTTTCTAGAAGCTCTTGGTTATTACTCTGTGTACTGACTCCATTGCTTCTAGTCCCTTACTGTGAGTAGACGCGTGTTGGATCTGCTCATTCTGTCCTCCATACCTCTCAGGTTCTCTTTTGTATTTTGTTTATCTCTCTCTGCTGGGTACTGGGCAGTTTCTTCACAGCATGATTCCAGTTTACTGATCCTTATTTCAGCTGGTTTATTCTGCTTTTTAACCCTTTGTTCAGTCTAGAGGGGGCATTGGGTTCTTTCTATTTCTCCTAATACCTCTTCTCATGGTTCTGATTGCTATTTTTGTTTATTTGACTTTCATTGATCTGATTTCACAATTGTTTAGATTGTTATTCTTTTGATTCAGGTTCTTGCCTGTGCTGGTCTGTCGTCATTTTGTTTCCTTCTGCTCACTCTAACGGGATTGTGTCTTGTCTGTTTTGTAATTTTAAAGATGTTATTTATTGTGTTGCCTGGGTGGCTCAGTTGGTTAAGCATCTGCCTTCAGCTCAGGTCATGATCCCAGGGTCCTGGGATGGAGTCCCACATCAGGCTCCTTGCTCAGCGGGGAGCCTGCTTCTCTCTGCCTCCTTGTGCTCTCTCTATCCCTCTCTCTGACAAATAAATAAATTTTTTTTAAAAGATGTTATTTATTTGATAGAGAGATAGAGAGCCAGAGAGTACAACCAGAGGGAATGGCAGAGGGAGAGGAAGAATGTTTTGTAATTTTAGATGGGGAGATGTCTTCAGGGTCTTGTTTTTTTTCTGAAAGGATTCCATGTGAAGAAAATTGACAGTGTCCCAAGGGAATAGTTTTGCATTTGTGTCTGCCATTTGCTCAGGAATGTCACCAGCCTGGGATTTTAGACAAGTTTCTTGACTAGGCAGTACTCACCAAGTGAATTCAAACTTTGTGTGAGTGAGAGGTACAGCCATGGGTTTTTGGGTTCTCACAGAAGACTTCTTTTATCCCTTTTGCATTTCCTCCCATCAGTGGTAGGGGGAGGAGGAGTTCCTGGTAGGTGGGTTTGGAATTCTGGAGTCTCCTCACCTCACCCTGACCCTGGAGCTTTTTATTGAGGTACAACCCTTGGAGGGTCCTGGCCTCCATTCAGCAGGCTCCGTGACAGCACTCCTTTCTTGAGCCCAGGCCCTGTCTCCTATCCATGAGTTTGTGTTAAAACCCAAGGTCATGGGGCGCCTGGGTGGCTCAGTGGGATAGGCGTCTGCCTTTGGTTCAGGTCATGATCCCAGGGTCCTAGGATGGAGCCCCACATCAGGCTCCCTGCTCAGTGGGGAGCCTGCTTCTCCCTCTGCCTACCTCTCTCTCTGGCAAATAAGTAAGTAATTTTTAGGCAAACGAACTCCAGGCCAGAGCTGTTTTCAGGCCCATCCCCCCTCAGCTGCGCTCGGCCCCTGCGCTCGCTGCCCCTTCATTTCTAGTGCACGGGACCCCTTCCTTCTGTCTTACTATGCAGCCATGCAATGAAAACATTGGAGCACATTTTATCCAGCATTTATAGGTGTTGCTGGTTGCAGAGTTTCAGTTTTCACTTATCTCCTTCCCTTCTGAGCCCAGAACTCTAAATTCCTCTCCCGAAACCTCCTCCATTCCCTCCTCTGTGAAGTCCGAACATCTCCATTGTGGGACTGTCAGGAGGGGCTCAATGGATAAAGCCCATAAAATGCTTGGCCTAGGGCCTGGCACATGGTAGGCAATCAGTAAATAGGAGTATCATCATCAATACTCCAGAAAATTTGAGAAGTTTGCAGAAGTGTAAGGAAAAGAAATATTGTACTGTGCACTGAAAATTGTGGTTCACACTTAAGAGAAGTCTAACTTATTCGCACGTACATCCACACTGCTGGTACTGTACATACCACCTGGTGTCTGCTTTTCCCATTTGGTCAGTGTCTTATTTGGGTGGGCTGGCCTAACAAAATACCACAGAGTGAGGGGCTTAAACAACAGACATTTTCCCAGTTCTGGAGGCTGAAGTCTGAGACCAGGGTGCCAGCATGGTCAGATTTGGGAGAGGACCCTGTTCCTGGCTTGCCGGTGGCTGCCTGCTTTTTGTCCTCCCATAGCAGAGAGACAGCGACAGAGGGAACGCTCTGGTCTCCTTTACAAGGACACTCATCCCATCCTGAGGGCTCAGCTCTCATGACCTCATCTCTCAAAGGCCCCATCTGCAGATACCTCACACTGGAGGTTGGGGCTTCATGTAAGAATTTGGGGGACACAATTCAGTCAGTAGCCGTCAGAATTCTCTACGGAACAGTGGCCCCTCAGTTTGGAGGGGATCTTTAACAAGAACGGGCTTATCAGATTCCCATTCTCCTCCGACAGAACCCACCTCAACAGGAAGGGGCTGATGACACAGTGAGGCCCAATGTGTCTAGTTGGGGTCTGGGGGATCCGTTCTGAGTGTTTTTGCCAGAGACCAGCCGGCAGGCAGCTGCCAGAGCTGAGCCAGCCCATCTTCTCTGCTCCTGCCCTCGTATCCCTCTCCCTGCAGGTCGTCCTCATGGGATTGGAGCTTTCTCCTCCAGTCACTTTCCAGCTGCGGGCCGGCTCTGGGCCTGTGTTCCTCAGTGGCCAGGAACGTTACAGTAAGTCAGATCCTGGACCCGGGGAAAGTCTCAGAGTGCCGTGCCCCGCACAGGGCCAAGGAGGGAAGAGGCACTCCAACACTCGGGGGATTATGGAATTACTGGCGAAAATCCCCAAAGGCAGCATGATTGCCAGTCGTCTGGACTGCAAGTCCTCCTTTACCTGCCAGCGCCTCTGGGCCACAGTCCCCTTGCCTAGAGCATGAGGGTGGGGTGTACTTGGTCTCATCTTCAAGGAGCAGTTGGGAGGGATACAGGGGATATTCAGGAACAAGTTTGCATGATGCCAAGTCCGACCTGCACTTGGAAGGTTAGCTGCCGTGAAGCATGGAGCTGGGAGAGTAATATGGGCCCCAGCCAGCCGAACTCCCTATAAAGGGAGCTACTGACTCCCTTCATAGCCTCCTTTGTCCGGTTGTCCCTCCTCCCTCAGGGCACTGTCCTACCCCAAGCCCCTGGCAGCCTCTGCTTCCCTCAGGATGAGGTCTGCATTCCTGAGCTGCTCCCTCTGCCCACCCTCGCCATCCTCTGGCTCCTTCCCAGCCAGAGCCACAGCTGGCCGCTTCCCCTGCCACCCTAGCCCTCTGGGCTCCCGGACCCCTCACTCCACCCAAGCCTCCACTTTGTCAGGCCAGAAAGGGTCTCGAGGAGGTGGCAGGTGCCGGCTTCCCCAGGGCAGCTCTGAGAACAAGACCCATGGCACAGAATGGGAGCTAGGTGGAGACCCTGAGCTCCAAGGCCCTGCCCCCTTTCCATGCAGACCTACCCTGGGAAGAAGAAGAGGAGGAGGAGGAGGAGGAGGAGGAAGAGGAAGGTGACAGCGAGGAGGTTGATGACGACGACGATGATGATGATGCAGATGTGTCCCTAGAGGAGGACACCCCTGTTAAACAAGTCAAGAGGCCGGCGTCCCAGAAGCAGACAGGCATTGCCAAGGTGAGGGAAGAGACCCCCAGAGCCTCCTCAGAAACCCAGCCAGGCCTTTTGCACGGACTGTGCCTGAGTGTGCCGAAGCCTGGGCAGGGCCGCCAGTTGCTCAGCCTGGGTGCTCAGCGCACGTGCCCAGCGGGCATCCGCTCTGGCCCTGGGCCCCACCCTAACTGGCCCAACACCACTGTTTGGTTCCCAGAAAAAAAAGGTGGAAAAAGAAGAGGAGGCAGTGAGGTAACTCTTTCCATCTATTAACTTGGCCAAAATCTTGTAGCAAGGGTGCATAGGGCCAGAAAGGGCCTGGCCTATGTGCACACAGTATGAGTCCCCTGCCGGCTGCCACACCTCTTGGAAAAGCATGAAAGTATTCTTACCTTCTGACCTAATTCCACTATGGCAATTCCTTCCCAAGGATCCCATCCAAAATATGGGATTTTGTAAAATGATAGGTACCGAGATAGGCATTATTTAAGTAGTAGTAAAAATGGAAGCATTCTAAATGTCAACCAATGCACTAGCTGATTAAGCTATGTCACATTTTCCCAGTGGAATGTGACCTAGTGTCTATGAAGAATATAGCATCCTGGAAAGTGTTTATAGAATTAAAAAAGACAGAATAGTAAGTCACTTTCATGTTATTTCACATGTTTTTAGAAGAAAACAAAGCAAAAAGCCCAAAAGGAAACACACCAAAATGTTAATACTGGTAGGGAAATAAAATAAGTAACTTAATCTCTATTTGCTATATTTTGTGGCACTTAGTTAAACATTACTTTTTATGATGAAAAAGACCTATTTGTGATCGAAAAAAGAAAGCAGATGGAAGCCTGAGAAGAATAAGACATGTTGCTTAGAATAAGAGCGAGTCAGAGTGGTCCCCGGCAGGTGACAGGTGGAGAGGTGAATTCTGCAGCCCCCAACTCTCCCAGTGGGCACGAAGAGGGTCTGTGCTATTGGTGTCAGTGCTATTGGTGAACACTCTCTCCTTCCCACCCACTCCCCCTCCCTGCTCCACCCCACCCAATTCCAGATCCAGTCTTAAAGACAAGAGTCCTGTGAAAAAGGTGAGTATCAGAAGAAGGGCGGGGGGAGGAGGGGTGGTGAGAGGGGTAGATGGAGGGAGTGGGACACGGGCACCCTCCCTTCTCTCTGTAGGCCAAACCCACATTCAAACCTAAAAAGCCCGGATCCAAGAAATGAGGGGCCAGGAGGGTCCTGGCTGCAGTGACCGAGGGAGAGCCAGCTAGAGCACCATGCAGGCTGGCCCTCCTTCCTCAGCACGTTCTGCAGGTTCCCCCACCACCACCACCAGCCTCTCTCCATCTGAGTCTGCATGGAATGGAGCTATTAGGGGCAACACAAGAGACCCTCAGCCCAACGCAAGTTTCAGCAGGACCTGGAGGGAAACTCCAACCTCAGGGCCACAATAAAGTTTGCTTTGCCAGGACCTTGTTTCTGCCATCTGTTCGCAGGGGCCAGCCTTCTTGATGGCTGCAGTGAGCCCATGTGCCCGGCAGAGGGCGGCCATGTGCCAGCTGGGTTCTGCGCTGCTCTTCTCTCCCTCTCTTGTCCTCAAACTCCCACCTCCCCCCAGTTTTGTTGTGGGGGGAACCAAGTGTCTCAACCCCTTACCCAGCTTCAGCTCTCTGCCTCCGGCCTGAGGGACGGAGCTCCAGCTGGTGTGGGTCTTCCTGTGTCCACACTCCCTTGTGGCTGGCCAGTTTTCCAGGTACCAAACCAAAGGGTGAGAGCCGCCCACCCTGCCAGGAAGGGCCTTGGCCCCCGTCAGACTAGCCTGAGGATCTCTCCTGGCCCTGATCACGTCTGTCGGTTGTCAAATACACAGGACATCTGGTGGAACCCAGGAGGGGGGATGCTAGCTGTGCACTCCCAGGCTTGCCTCCTGCTCAGGGTGGGCTCCTGCTCATTTGTGTGAAGCTCTGTGTCAGGCGAGAGCCCAGAGGCCTGCACCTCCGAGGAGACCCTTCCAGGCAGGGCACGTGAGTGAGGCAGGCTGTAGAGGGTCTCTCACAAGGGGTGGATGGGTGAACACTCTTAACTCCCGTGTGAGGAGGCTTCTGCCAGGACAGCTCCCGGAACCACGGAACAGGGCTCCCCAAAGTGTTTGGACTAGCAAGGGGGTGAATGACCCGAAGACTGGGTCACCCATTGTGACACACAGATGGCCCCCTACTTGGGCTTAATGCTCGCAGGCCCTCTGACTTCTTCCTGGCCCTCTCCTACACCCCTGCCAACCAAACCTAAAGTGGGCCAATGGGGAGATGGTCCTGCCTCTCTCCAGGATCCTGAGGCAGGGCCCCGGAAGGTGAGAGGCTGGCATGGGAAGGTCAGCAACCAGGCTTGCGTGTCCATGTTCAGCCTCAGTTTCTCTCAAAGCCAGAAGAGATGGAGGAGGGTAGGGCTAGCCTTCTTGCTTTTTGCTGTCTACATCCCCTGGGACAGATGTGGGCATCACCCCACCCTCTAACAAATGAGAATGAGCCACTGACCTCGGGTTACCTGGACAGTGCTAAGGGACATCAGTTCACATCTGGCCCCAGGATGGTGGGCTGCAGGCATTTTCCATGGCTTCATGCCACAGTGACACAGAACAGAGGAGACAAATTCTTCACCTTTAAGTCCCCTCCAGTCTCGTGGAAACAAAAGCCAACGACAAAATGTCAGTTACTGTCCAGTGCTTTGGAGGAAGTGAAACAGGCCAATTTCCGGGCTGGAGAAGTACTATTAGGAGATGAGAGGAAGACCCTCAAAGGAGAAGAGCGACAAAAAGCGGGTGGCAGGCGCCAGGAGTCGCTGGCAGAAGGACACTCCCAGAAGCAGGGGCCAAGAATGCACAGGGCCTGCGGCAGAGCAAGCTTGGAGGTCTGAACAAAGAGAAGGCTGCCATGATTGCAGGAAGAAGGCGCTGGGCGCCGTTAAGCCCTGTTTCTTAGACCTGGAAGATGAGGCCCAAAGAGGTGAAACAACTGGCCCCCAAGGCCCCAGAGCTAGAGGAGGGGCCAGGGTTCCCTCCAGCTTGTCTGGCCCCAGAGCTCTCTAACCACTCTGGCAGAGAGGGAGAGAGCGCACAGCAGCCCGAGTGCTAGGAAGTCTCCCGAACTGAAAGCAGTCGTTAGAATGAAGTCTGGTAGTTGGGATGGGCAGCCCCAGCCACTTCTAGCCCAGTGGGGGTTCGCACAGGTACTTCTTCCCTCCACCTCGCCCCTGGCAAACGCCCCAGCAGTCTGGCTCCACCCTGAGTCTGCACAGAAGGGCAGGCGACAGCTACACGGACAGCTACGGACAGCTACGCCAGCCGATTTGATCTCCCGATGCTTGCCGGCAGTAGGGATAGAGCAGCAAAGATGGAGGGCTCCCCGTCTTGGAAGGGTCCATTTGCCTTTTGCCCTGCCCCAGCTCCAGCCCTTCTGTTTTTCAACAGGAAAAGGGTGAGCTGGGGTCGAAGCAGGTGGTGACAAGTGGCAGGTCTGCAGGTGGGCTCTGCGGCTCTGTGTCTGCACCAGCTGGGCTGTTAGAAGGAGCAGGCGTGAGACGCCTCAGTTGGGGGGTGTTGAACTTGGCACTAGGGGGTGGGGATTAACCAAAGCAGCCGGGGCTACTTCTCACTTCCCTTATCACCTCCTGCCACCTCCCCCCATAAATGTTAATGAACCCTACCTTCTGCCTCCCAGCTCCCTCTAGTCAAGGGAGAGACTGGGTCAAAATGTAGGTAAACTGAGTCTGGACCCCAGAAGAGGATCTAGGCCCCTTGCTTCCATTCTTTTGGTCCTTGATAATTTTCAGGGAGTGTCCACCTCAGCTGATGCTCACAGTGGCAGTTTTGACAACATCGGTAATGGCCATTTCCTTTTTACAAATTAGGAAGTGGGACCAGAGAAATGAAGAGATTACCATAGGTCACACAGCCCATAGAGGACAGGTCATGGGGATGGGGATAAAATCCATGGAACACTCTCCATGCTGCCTCCCCTCTTGGAAGCCAGCACTGGCCTTCCCAGCGGGGTCAAGGAGCAAGCTGAGTCAGGAGGCCGGGCCTGTAGGTGCACAATGGGAAGGGACAAGGAGCAGGTATCACACCATAAAATAGGCTACCCACCCATGCCCTAGAGTCCCCCGGCCCAGGCCCCTGGCTGAGCCCCAAGGCCAAGCTTGACTGCTGGCATCTGTTACCATGGAGACCCAAGCCTGGCTTGGGGGATAGTAGGTGACAACAAGCCCCTCCCCCACCGATAAGAACCAGGCACTTGGGCTCAGAAAACTGGGGCCCAGACAGCGCTAGGTGGCACTTCCCACACCTGACTCCTTAATTCATTGGGTCCACCCCAAGTCTGAACTACATCCTCCATGGGTCCATTCCCACCTGTCATCCCAGGAGTGAGGGCGGGAGGAGATAGCTCTGAGCACCCTACCGGGAGCTAGGAGCAGGCAGATATGTGGGTGAGGTCCCTGGCTGCCCAGAGAAGAGAGCCAGAGCTGGCACCAGCCACAGTGGACAGGTGGACTTGGGCATTTCCTCGAAGGGGCAGAGTTTAAATCGGGCTGAAAGTGAACAAATATAGAAAATGGAAATCATCAGTGGCACCAGCCTGGATGAAAGCAAAGGAGCAGGACAGGGCGCGGCATGCATAGAAAATGCTGAGCACTGGACCGGGAGTCTGGGTACCCGGTACCTTGTCCGAGTCACGTGCCACTCACTAACTAGCTGTGAGACCCTCCCTGGGCCTCATCAGTGAGTGAGGAGCCTGGACCAGATGAAGAATCTCGAAGAACCCTTCCAGTTTGGACAGTATGATTCAAGTATGGTCCCACCCCTGGACTCCCCCAGTTACAAGGCTCCCCCCACCCACACTCCCCAGGCCAGGTCAGGCTGAACAGGGCCCTGAGTCCCGCTGTGGGGTGCCGGGGCGGAGCTGGGAGCCAGGTGCTGGAGCTGGACAGTTGGAGGTGGCCAGGAGGTGGCCTTGGGGGTTGTCTGGGGGCGGGGGAGGGGTGGCAGACAACTTTGTGGATTGATCTAGCTCAGGAAGGTGAGAAGGAGGCTTGGAGGTGAGAGTTTCGCCCTCCTGCTCATCTCTTTAAGTAAATACATCCACATCCAACATTTCCCCTTCTCTTTCCATCCTGGGGGCACTTAGACCTCGGAGCCCAGAGCTGAGATGTGAGCTCTGCTTCCCTACATGGGGGCTTCCCTCAGAGATCCCCCCAAGTACAAGCCTGCTTCCACAGTCACCATCACCCGCCTTCTGAAGGAAAGGGACAGTTACAGTCCCCATCACCAGCCTCTGGGGCCTTGGATATCTTGGCCCAGAGGGCGTGGACACAGCAGAAAGGCTCCAGACAAGACCCACGTGGAACAGAAAGAGCATGGACTTCAGGAGCCCAGTCCCACCGTTCACTGGCTGGGTCATTCTGAGCTAACCACCTACCAGTGTGTCTCAGTTTCCCTGTCTATAGAATGGGGTAATACTGGTCCCACCACACAGCAGGGTGGGACCAGAGGTCACGTGAAGAGGCTGGTCCCACCACACAGCAGGGTGGGACCAGAGGTCATGTGAAGAGGCTGGTGGGCTCTTCATCCCAGGCAGGGGCTGATGGGTGCAGGGAGGAGGCCCTAGGGACAGCCACTGCCCCAGAGAGGATGGTGGGTGAGGCCCAAGAACGTGTTATGCCTTTTGACATCTGCTCAGTGCAGTTATCTCATTTGGCCCTCTGACATTACTGTCCCCACTTCTAGAAAAGTGCCCGGGGCCCAAAGAAAAGGAGCTTGTGCCAATGCATCAGCCCCTTTCAGAGCCTGTCTGTCCTGAGTCAGCAGGCCAGCTCTCAAGCCCACACTGGGTCCTCCCACAGCCCCAGCTTCACCTTCTCCCCCATCCCTGGTCCCCAACCTGTTGCACCCGCTATTTGCTGCCAGTCGGGGCGGCCTTGACACTTCTAACCGGGTGGCCAGACCGCAGAGAGGGGGAGCCAGGGGTGACAGAGGCAGTGGAAGCCAGCGCTCCTAGCCAAGCCCACCGCCTGCCCCCTGGAGGGAGGCTCCTCCTTTTAAGGCTGCTTCTGGGAATTTCCACCCCCAGAGCCAGACTCAGCAACCCCTGGCCCGGGAATGATACCTGCGCTCACCCTTGGGGAGGTGGGGCACCAAACCTGAGGGCAGGAGAAGCTGGACCCTAGGGAACGGAGGCGGGGCCCTCCCATCCAGGTCTGTGGGTCAGGGAAAACGTGGGAGACCACGGAGTCCAGCCTCCTTAGCCAGCAGCTCCATCCTCTGTGCGCGGGCAGCCCCGCAAGAGGCTGGCAGCCCCCGCCAGCGGCTGCTTTGCCCGCTCACTGGCCAGGAAGGTGGACACCTCACACCTCAGTCTCCCAATTACGCCCTCCTCCCCCACTCCTCCTCCCCTCCCTCTCTCTCTTCCTCCTCCCCTCTCTCTCCTCCTCTCCCCCCTGAAAACCTGTGGCTTGAAGAGACCTTGGCTTCTCTGGGACTCTACCCCTCTCTATCCCTGGGGACTGCCCATATCTGCTCCTGAGTTTGGGGGCAGGGGGGCCACCACCCCCAAGGACTCTCTGCGGCGATGGGAGCCACCTGCCTGCTGCCCCACGTCACTCTGTAAGTGTGCTGCCTCTCTGGATGGAAGTTTAGTTGCCCTTTCCAGCCTGGGGCAGACCTCGTTTTATCGGGACTCCCACCCGGAGGGGCGGGGGGAGGGGTGTGAGGGGAGGGTGCCTGGGTGCTCACCCTGGGTTGACTGCTGGCACCCACACCAGGGTCTGCCTTGTCTTCCCACACAGGTGCCTCCAGCTACTGATTCTCTGCTGTCAAACTCAGGTAGGCGGGTGCCCCCCCCCACTAGCTGTTCCCTGTCTCCCCCACCCCACCCAGCTTGGCGGGGGGTAGTCTCCTCTTGGTGGACAGAGGCAGGTTCCGGCCTCTCCCTGGATCCAGGGTTTCTGAGGTGGGGGGTGGGTGGAGGTGTCAGCCTTTGGAGGCGGGTAGAAGGGGCTAAGGCACATTTGGGGATGCACTGAGGTCTTTATCTGTCCTCCCTCCATGACCCTCCCTATCCCTACTTGTCCTGGAGTCTCTGTTTCTCCCTCCGTACTGCCACACGGGTTCCGCCCCCCTCCCCCAAGGCTAACCGCATGCGGCAGCCCAGGCTTGAGGGATGGACTCTGGAGAGATGGGTAGAGGGCAGAGGTGCTGGCTCAGGTGAGGCTTGTACTGGGAGCTACCTGAAAACACAGGTTTCCATGCAAAACCACTTGTGCATTCCACTTCCTACCCCTCTCCCCCCATCACAGATGTCCCAGGGGTGCGCTGCCCTGGGGGACTGCGTGGGCAGTCCCAATGCCCAGCCAGGGCGGGGTGACTCCTCACCTACAGTGCAACGAGGTCAAGCCCAAAGAGGTTTGTTTGGGACAAGATTTGGGTTTGCATCTCCACACTCCCCCCACCCCATGCCAGCGCCCCCATGCACACCCCCCACCCCAAGCCTCAGCCCCCCGTGCGAGGCTCGGTCCTTTTTTGTGATCCTCCATAAAAGTGCAGCTATTAAAATGCACTGGTCCAGAACCGCTCTGGGGAGAGATCGCTTGGCTTTCCCAGGCCAGAGGCCCGCTTCTCTTCATATCCAGTGGGGACTTTTTTTGAAGGTAAATGCCTTTTCTCTGGGAGAGGGAAAGGGGCTGCCTTTGAAGCAGTGGGGGGGTGGGAGAGAGAGAGAGACAACTCCCCCCCTCTTTTCCTTCCCCCTTTTGCTCTAGCCCCCGTTCCAGGCCTTTTGCTTCACACATCCAGGGAGAGCAAGAAGAAAGCCCCCAGCCTGGCTGGGAGGGGGCTGGGGGTGGGCCCAACCTGTTCTGGAAGGGGAATTAGCACAATGGTGAGGCTGGCCGGGGCGTTTATGGCCTGGCTGAGGCCCCATTCAGGACTCAGGGAAGGTGGCAAAGCTGTCCTTTCCCCCTTGAAGTGCCCCCTCACCCCCCCTGGAGGGGGGGCCGGCAGGCCGGACCATAGCCATGCTTGAGGGGCTGTCTGACAAGCAGCTGTCTGCAGCAGTGGAAGGGGAGGTCCCCCCGCAGCGGGAACATGAAAGGGACAGGCCAGGTCCCGCGGGGAGAGCGACTTGTGGGCTGTGGGGCTGTGGGGGGGGGGCGTGGGGCTGCTTTTGTGCAGGGCCTGAAGGGGGACAAGGAGAGGAGGGGGCTTCAGGGGGGCCCTCTCTGCTCCTGACCTGGAACAGACAGCCAGAAGGAGGCTGCCCGCCAAGAGGGGCGGAGGGCCTGAACCTGGGCCAGGAGGCTGGGGGCTGGGGCCAGGCTGGACCCCACTGAGGGTCCCAGGCCAGCTAGACCCCACCCCCTGGCAGGGAGGCTAGCCCCCACCCCAAATGCTGGCCTCGGGTTTTTCCAGGGTGGGGTGCAGGGCGCACTTTGCTGCTCTGAGTCTCCAGACCCTGCTCTCATAGGTGGGGGTCCTGGCGGCACTTCTGGCCAGTGGCAGAGCTGCAGTGGGAAATGAGCAGTGACACACACGAAGGGTTAACCCTGAGCAGGTTACAGGGTCAGCCTGGAGCCACCACAGCACTCACCACCCCCTTCCTCAAAGCTGATTCCTCCAGTTCCTGCTCCTCCCTCTGCAACAGAGGTGGCCTCCAACAGATGCTGATCTGGGTCCAGGTCTGTCTCAGTGGTTTTGATTGGGCCTGGTATAAAGGTGGCCTTAGGGACCTGGGCCAGGGAGAGTGGGGTCAGCAGGATCGGGTGGAGAGAGAAACATTTGAGCCTAGGGTTGAAGCTGTCACCAGCAGTTCAGAAATGGCATCTAGTTTGCACCTCACTGGAGAGAGAGCAGGAAGCGGTGTGGTTTTCTCCCACTCAGTGTTGCAGATAGGTAGGGAGAGACTGGGCCTGGAGATGGTGCTCGTCCTGGCTTTGCACCACGCCGGGGTGGAACCCGGAAGCTGGTAGCAACAGCGCCCCTACTGGCCAACCAGCCTCGGTTATGTTGGGGCACAGGCAGCCTGGCACCTCCTGGGAGCGCCCCTGGACCACGCCGCTGGCTCCTCCTGCTGCTGCAGCCTCCACATCCCTCACCCCCAGAGGGACAACACTGAATGGTGGACGGGCTTCTCTGAGGGTCCTGAGCACCCAGGGGGAGGGGCAGGGGAGTCATACAGAAGCTCAGGATCCCACCGCTGAACTTGGGTTCCATAACTTTGAAGGTTCCTTCTAGCAACCAGTCACGATTCCAGGTCTGCACTAGATCACAGGTGTCCCCCAAGCCTGGGCAGATGGAGAGCCAAGAGATCATGACTGGCTCACCCACTGGCCTGGGAAGGTCCTATGTCCCCGTCCCCAACACCTCTGCTTCCTAGGACCAGTGGCCTGCCCCATCACACTCACCTCCACACCCCTCTCCCCTGGATGGACCAGTGGTGGTGTCACCCAAAGCAAATTGACACTATTTTTCCCTTGGTAACCGCAAAGGGGGAGAATCACCCGTCTCCTAATTTTAACCAGTACGTGAGGGACCAGGGCGCCATGACCGACCAGCTGAGCCGGCGGCAGATCCGAGAGTACCAGCTCTACAGCCGGACCAGTGGCAAGCACGTGCAGGTCACCGGGCGTCGCATCTCTGCCACCGCGGAGGACGGCAACAAGTTCGGTGAGACCCAGCCCTCACTGGAGGCCACTCACACCACTGGCGGCCTAACAGATCCTATGCCCAGGCAGGGGCCCAAAGTGGAAGAGCCTCCCGGTGCCCCCCCACAACCAAAGTTGGGAGGTCAGGCTGTCTGGGGGGGGCCCCTGCCACACCCCTGAGCCCACAACTCCCACGGACAGAGGTCTTTCTCCCCCTCCCCCATCACAGCCAAACTCATAGTGGAGACGGACACGTTTGGAAGCCGCGTGCGCATCAAGGGGGCTGAGAGTGAGAAATACATCTGTATGAACAAGAGGGGCAAGCTCATTGGGAAGGTGAGACCTGGAAGGAGGACGAGGGAAGGAATGAATCAATCTTTCTGCCTGCCCCACAGCACCCCACTCCCCTCCCCTGGGCAAAAGCCAAGATGACTTCTACTCACACTCCAACACTCAGCCACTCTTGTTTCTCCATTTAAATGAGACACTTACTGATCCCTAAGTGTCTTGGGCTCTGATTTACAGGCAACGTCCAATCAGGGAGTCAGGATTTAGCACCTTCATGAGATTGCAGACCCCGTGTTGAAGGTCAAGTGCTGATCAGGGCTGAGAGTGGGCATTCATACATGGCCACAAGCTCCCCCAAGGTCAGTGGGGTTCACAGGATCCCTCTAGGCAGACGGCACACGAAGGGCCTACTAGTGTAAGCACCAGCTGGCGTGAGCTCTCGGGCAGGTCCAACGCTGTTGCGTAGGGAGAATTCCGTTTCCTTTAGCATTTGTCAATCCTGGCTTCTGGTTCTGGCTGTTCTTACCAAATATTTGCTGATTTCTGTCAAGCCTCAGGCTTCTCGTCTATAAAAATGGGCATAGTGTCAAGGTTTTGGATAGGGCCAAATGGATGACCATGTGGCTCCTGACATAGTCTTTATTCTGTAGACAGTTGCCCATTCTTCTCCTCAGACTGTTGCCTCTTTGGCCTCCACCCAACAGTTACCATGCTATACCACTGGCTAAACACCATGCTCAAGGCATACAACTTCCAAATGACAAACCTGTATTTAAGTTCAGATCTGACTCCCAGCAAACCGTGTTCCCTTCTCCCACTTTTACCTCTCCAACAAGGGCACCCACCTCCCTAGGCAGAAACCCCGGGGCACACAGGCCCCTGCCGCTCCCTCCTTTGTCCCACAAAATTGGTCCAAAAGTCAGATAAACCAGACAGGTTGGGTGGAGGAACACCCCTCCTCTCCCTCCCTCCCTCCGCAGCCCAGCGGGAAGAGCAAAGACTGCGTGTTCACGGAGATTGTGCTGGAGAACAACTACACAGCCTTCCAGAATGCCCGGCACGAGGGATGGTTCATGGCCTTCACGAGGCAGGGTCGGCCCCGCCAGGCTTCTCGCAGCCGCCAGAACCAACGAGAGGCTCACTTCATCAAGCGCCTCTACCAGGGCCAGCTGCCCTTCCCCAACCACGCGGAGAGGCAGAAGCAGTTCGAGTTCGTGGGCTCAGCCCCCACGCGCCGGACCAAGCGCACTCGGAGGCCACAGCCCCTGACGTAGTCGGGGACACTGGGGGCAGCTGCCCCTCACCAGCCTTCCCATCCCCTTCCCTTCCTAATCCCAAGACTGGGCTGGGGTGGAGGGAGGGGAACCAGAGCCCCCAAGGAGGACCGGGAAGACCAACCAGCGTCAGAGCCTCGAGCCGGAAAGGGGCGGGACTGCCACAAACCAGTGCTGGGGCCTCGGGGCAGCCGCCCCAGACCCCGCACTGAAATAGGGGGTGGGGGTGGGGCAGACCCCCAGGCGAGGAACTGTAGTGTTCCCTCGGACGCAGGCTCCCCGAAACAGGTGGAAAGGGCAGCAGATTCAAGGCCCTGCAGACACGGTCCGGAGGTGGTTCTCTTTAAACTCTGCCTGCGGAGTCTTCCTCAGTCTGCTCCCAGCCTCCATATTCCTCCTGGCCAGACTGTAGGAAGGGACTTTTGTGTTTGTTTCAGGAAAAAAGAAAAGGGGGGAGAGAGAGAGAAAGAGAGAGAGAGAGATGGCCATTCTTCACATTCCACTACCCAGGCCTGCACCCCCATCCCCAATTTCGAGTCCCAGAATAAAACCATTTTCCTGCAAACGGGTTATCTGAAGGCGGGGTGGAGGGATCCAAGTCCCAAACCGCGGGGGTAACAACCTTGCCTCTCGGAGCGGCGCTGACCAGAACCCGGACAAGGCGCGCGGCAGGCCCATGGCCCGGGTCCGGGCGCGACCCGGCAGGTGGAGGGGCAGGTGGAGGGGCGGCGCGCGGGGCGCGAAGGGCAGTGCTGCCCGCAGGGGAAGCGGGGCGTGGGTGGCCCCGGGAAGGCCCCGCACCTCCGCCCGGCGCGAGGCTGGCAGCCCCGGGGCGGGCCCAAGGCCCGGGACCCACGGGCGCGCCCCTCCCTCCGCGCGGGCTCCGGTTTCCTGGCTGGCACGGCGCGCCCCGTGCTACCTGTTGGGGCGAAGCAAACCCAAGCCCTTGGGCGGGCGAGCCGCCGGGGCCGGGGCAAGAAGCCCGAGCGCCCGCCAGGGCGGCCGGAGGACGCCGCAGCCTCCTCGCCGGTAGCCGGATTGCTGTTTTCCGGTGAGGAGGGGGAGGGGAGGCCGGGGGATGGGGGAGGAGGGCTCGGCCGAGCGGAAGGGGGAGTGAGGGCGAGAATGCGTCCTCTTGTTCCCCGGGTCCCCGCAGGGGGCGGGGGCGGGGGCCACACCTGAGGGGAAGTCGCAATTAGAGGCGGCGGACTGGGCCGCGCGGCCCTGGGGGAAGGGGGGCCCGCGGCGGGCGGGTTAGGGGCCCGGCGCCCCCTCCCCCGCCCGGGCTTCTCGGGTGGGCTTTCCCAGACGCCTCCAGGTGTGCTTTTGGGGAGTGGAACTAAGAGGCCATAAAGGCTGCCTCTTTCCTCCTCTGCGCTGGCTTTTAATCTTGTAGAGGGGAAAGCCCTTCGCTAGCAGGCTCCCCGCCCCAGCCAGCTCTTCTGTCGTCGGACCCCCAGCCTCAGTTTCCCCTTCTTCTTCTTTCTGCAAAGCTATTAGAGGGAAGTGTTGTGGAGAGAGAGGGGAAAAGGATGAATAGACCTCCCTTCTCCCCGACTTTTCCCAAGAATGGCCTAAAAATAAGGGCCGATTGGGAAGTTGGGGAGGAGCCTGGTTCGGTCAAAATGGGAGGTGGGTGAAACAGCAGTCGGAGTCGGTGGGGGTTGGGGGTCCCTCGCCTCTCCTTCAGTGAGGACTGGAGCGATCTGACACCCCCAGCTCTGAGCAGGTTGAAGGCAGCAGCCAAGAGGGAGGTCCCCCAGGCCCCGGGACAGACATTCTCCCCCAGCTTGTCATAAGTGCTTTGCACCAGGTTGCTCTCCCCCCCACACACATCACAAAGAGCCTTAATCCTGGTGAAGACTGCGGGAGATGTGTTGGGGGTGGTTTTCTGGGGGTTGGGGGGTAGAGAGGGTGGTCCGGAGCCACAGCTGATAACGGGTGAGTTCAATGGGATTTTAAACACAGGGGCAACACCCAGCAATTACCTGAGGACAAAGGGTTGGGGCCCCCAGGTGTGGAGGTCTGGACTTGGGGGGCAGGGGTAGGAGGCTGGGAAGGAGGTGTGTTGGCGAGGGGGGCTCTTACAATCCTGCTGATTTCCGCAGGAATTTAAGACATTCTTTAAAACTCTAGACTGCCTCCCCCCAGCGGGCTTCTCAGACCCACCCCACCCTCCCTGGCTGGGTTAGAGACAGCTTCAAAGGTGGACCGGGGCCCTTTGTCTTGCCTCTGCTTTCTTCTCCGCCTTTCTCCTGCCTCTCCCTCCCTCTCTCTGACCTCCCCAGCACAGACAGGCCTCTGGGGGCCGGCTCCAGAAAGCCCTCACTGTTTCCTTTCTTGCTTTCTGAGGTGAAACCTGGTGAGGAGGGACTGAGAGTGGGCAGGGTGAGGGAGGAAGGCGGCCTCTGAGGCCAGTGCCATCTCAGAGTGACTCGCCTCGCCCCGCCCTGAGTCCCGAGCCCGGAGCCTAGCATGTCTGACGCCTGCTGGTGGCCTTGGGTCTCAGGCTTGGCTCTCTGAACCCTCTCACCACACCTTTTCGTGCCTCTGCCAAGTCCAGGCTCCATATCCAGAGGGCCTCTTCATACTCTGGGGAAGTCTGTTCTGCTCGTTCCCCCAAACTGGGGCTGATTTCAAAGATGCTGAAAGAAAGAGGCCAAAGGAATGGATCTCGGATCATGGAGTCTCGAGGGATTTAACATGGGTAGGGGAGGGAGAAGGCTTCCTTGAGGACCTCAGACCACCCCACAGCTGCCTGCAGCAATCCCAGCTGCTTCTAAGTGCCAGAAGTTTCTAAGCAAGTGTGCAAATGGGGGTGGACACCGTGGGGGAAGACTTAGGCCAGACGAGTGCATCCATCTCTGGGAGGATGTGACCAAGTGGAGGGAGGCGGCAGCAGGTGCCTCAGATCCTGTGCTGGTCAGGATTACCAAGACCTCCAGCTAAGAACAGCCCACATACAGATCTCCCCTCCTCTGTCCTGTCCTCCCAATAGCCAGATGGGGGGGGGATCCACTCATTTTCTAGTCCCCGCAAGCTGGCTTCTATTAAAGTCACTATACTGAGCCCCATCCCTCATACTTCAGTGGCCAGTGAGCTCCCTGGCCTCAGACCTAGGTGTCCTCTGCCTCACAGCCCTGGATCCCATGAAGGACTGTCCCTTTTTGAAGCTCTTTCCTACCTCTTCATTCTCTGTCACTGGGACCCTTCACTTCCAGGGCTCCTCTTCACAGAAACATTGCCTAAGATTTCTGCCTTTCTCTTCTCGCCTTGTTCTTCCTGCTGAGTCTCTCCTAGCAATGCAGCACGTCAGCCATCATCCCCTTGCACACCACTGCTTTCTCTCCCACACTCGGAAACTCTGCACCATTGCCAGACCTCGCTAGGGTCTGTCTCAGTTACTACAGTAGCTTTCCGAGTCCTGTCTCTGCCTCCCAACACCCCCACCCCCTCCAGGACATCACACATTTCGCTCACCCTACATCACCCTAAACCGCAGCTCTGCCCACATTTATGCGATCCCCAGTGGACTCCTTAGCTCCTGTACAACCCCACTCAGCCCTGTCCCTATGAGTCCCCTCCAGGGGCTGTGGCAAAACAGCAGCCCTTGCCATTCGGCCAGCACCCCGTGCTCATCTTTGAATATGAGGTTCCTGCTGTCCAGCACGCCTTTCTCCAGAATGCTTGCACACCGAGACCACTGCTGTCTGTTGTGCTCCGTACACCTGCCTCCTCTCTTGGGCTAGCAGTCGCCTGTGGTGCCACGGGCCTCTCTGGCTGCCCACTTGCCCTGGCCTTATGGCACATACCACAGCTTGTCCAGAACTGTCCTTATTCCTGCTTGTGGAATGGTTGTGCTAGAAAGCAAGTGCCTCAGACGTAGAAGTAGTCGGTGTTTGCCTCCCCCATAGTCCCCAGCACAGGGCGTTACACAACAAGTATTTATCGAGGGAATTAAACCAACTGAAGGTTGAGAAAGAAGCCCTTGGCCCAGTACCTTGCAGTCCCTCGAGATGGAGGCAGAATGAGAACCAGAATCCTGCCTCCACCCTCCATCCTTAGAGGGACTTGGGTGGGGACAGGTCCTAAGCAGTTAATCCAAATACTTATTTACTCCCTACAATGTACAAACACTGCGCTAGCCGTTCAGCAAACAAAAAAAGTGGACAAGATATTGTTTCATCCCCTGTCAAGATCTCAAGACACTTGAAATTTAAGGACTTCTGGAAATCTCTCTCTCAAACCTAAAAAGATAGCAAAGTGGCATTTGGTACATCCCAAAAGAGGGAAAAAGGAGACAGGAGCTATTGGAAATAAGGACACTGATAAACACGGAACTCCGGAGATGCTCCAGGCATATGTGAGGCATTCCCCCATATAACCCCTTCCTCAGGGGGTGACATTGTTCCCATATCATGTGTGAGCCAGCGCAGACTCAGAGAGATGAACTCATCTGTGGTCGAAGCTAGTGAGGGTTACCGTCTAGATTCTTGCCTTTTTTGATCACCTGAGTGGGATGGTCTCCACTTCCAGCCAGGCACGGTGGGTTCAGGGACGGGAGAGTGCATGGGGCCAGGGCTGGGGTTTGCATGATCTTAAGGATGAGCAAGATTTCAGGGGCGCCTGGGTGGCTCAGTCGGGGAAGTGTCCGACTCTTGATTTCGGCTCAGGTCAGGATCTCAGAGTCCTGAGATCCACATCAGGCTCCAAGCTCAGTGGGGCGTCTGCTTGAGATTGTCTCTGTCTCCCTCTCTTTCTCTCTCCCTCTGCCCCTCCCCCCACCTCTTACAAAATAAAAGAATGAGCAGGATTCCAGTCCGCAGAAAAGACAGGCAAGGGAAGATACTGACAGGGAAAACAGCATGAGAAAAAAGGCTTTGAGGCAGGAAGATGTGAGGCGTGTTCAGGGGAAGGTGAGCAGTCCATGGGTTTGGCTAGAATTGTAAGTTTGCCTGGAGGAGTGGCAGGGAAAGATTAGGTCACATTGTGGAAGGCTTTGTGGTAGCGTGGGCTTTGAGAAAGAGAGTGACCATGCAGTCGTGGTGTTGGGGTTTGGGGGGAGGCTGGTCTGGTGGCAGCGTGCTGGGAACTGAGGGTCTGGGGTCCCTAAGGCAGATGGCCCAGTGTACAGAGGTGGGG